TAGGGCCCTGTGTCCACATATGTGGGCATTGGCTCCGTGCACTTTAAAATTTCATTCTCTTCTGCCTATGTCACGGTCTGTGAGCCTCCCTGCATGTTTGTCTGTCTCCCTGTGCTCATGATTGCAGGTGAGTGTGACTGGGAGTCCTCAGCTGCAGCTGATTTCTCATCAGGCTGACCAGGGGATAAAAGCTGCAGTCTGATGCTCATTCAAAGCTGGATGATTACTCGCACCGGTATCTAACTCGTGCTGGGTTCGCCTCTTAGCATTGTATCTTGTCATAACCTGTTTGTATTCCTTGTTCTCATTTCGTCTCGTTTCTCCCTGACTTCAGGATGCCTCACCTTCATCACCACAAACTCAACCCTGAACCGTTCATCTCCCGGAACCACATCTCACTGCCTTTCCCCTGGACAGCAACTCCCAGTTGCTCACCTGTCCCTTAGCCTCGCCATTCCCCACCTGCCCGTGGGAAACCTCCGCGACTCTTCACGCCACGCTCGGCTCCCTCCACTTCTCTAGTACCCCGGCTCACGACCGCTACCCTCCATGTTCAGGACCAACTCCCGCCTTGGAAACCGTAAGCCCAGTTCCCTTTTCTGTTCCTCCAGATTATTGTGTCACCCACCGGTTCCTCCTAACCTGTGTCTGCATCCTAGAAGGAGAACCGAGGATTCCCCTGCTCAGCTGGCAGCGCCTTCAGTTTCTCATTCCTGCTCATCGTTTTAGCAGCACCTTCAGTCCCCTACTCAAAGATCAATAACTTTCTGTTTCACCTTATCCACTTTGTCTCCTGGTTTGATTCTGCATGTCGTGGGTCAGACGTTTCACCCCCGCCATGACAACTTAGACCTTTTTGCTATTATTTATCAACACTTTATATTGACTTTCATTCTAAAATCGTTTCTTTTTAAAAAAAATTTAAGATATTTGACAACATTTTTATTTAATTAATTTTTATTGAATTTAAGGTTTGTAACTTTGTTTCTGTTAATTACAGTCGACTAATCTGTAATAGTTATGTTTTCTTTTAAATCAAACCAAATACAAGTTTGGGTCCCAGGAGATTAAGATACAATAATACTTGACCTTTATTTTAGAAGAGCATTTGCCCTTGCGGTGTCTGCTGGGGGGAAAAACTGCGGCCCTTGAGCAAATTTTGCTTAAGACCCCTGGTGCCTTTATTAGTGTAGGAGATAAGACAAAGTAAATAAAAATTACACTTCACTTCGAGTTTAGGAAGGAAAGCAAGAATAAAACTCCAAAACAAAACAGAGCAACAACTAAAGCCCGGTTTACATGGCAGGATAATGCTGACGATTTTCGAATTGATCCTCCTCTTCCCACCTTTTTAAGGACGTGCCAGATTACCATAAAGCAGTGATCCCCAGGGGTGTGTCCAGCATGTTTTACTGTATTCCCTGATTCAACACACCTGATTGTAATAAGCAGGTGATTAACATGCTTCTGTAGAGCTTGATGAGCTGCTGAGCAAGGGAATCAAGTGTGTTGGAGCAGGGAAACAACAAAAACATGCTTGATACTGGCCCTTGGGGAAGGGAGTTTGGGATCATGCCATAAAGGCTGTAAAAATAATCTTATCAGATAGTCTTACTGTGTGTGGTTTCTCCTCTGCTATGTTTGTTTATTCCAAGTCACATTTGATCTCATGAGAGTTCCAGACTGGGGAATGTCTGTGTCAAATGAGTTTGTGTGTAAGAGTGTAGTTTTTTCATGTGACCAGACATCACACACTGCAGAACCAAAACGGGGTTATCCGTTATTTATTATCACCATGTACTGTGTGTGTGTGTGTGTGTGTGTGTGTGTGTGTGTGTGTGTGTGTGTGTGTGTGTGTGTGTGTGTGTGTGGGTGTGTGTGTGTGTGTGTGCGTGTGTGTGTGTGTGTGTGTGTGTGTGTGTGTGTGTGTGTGTGTGTGTGTGTGTGTGTGTGTGTGTGTGTGTGTGTGAATCGAGCCCTAGGTAATAAGTATTACAAAACCCAATGGGCATAGTCTGACTGAAACCCATAACCAGATCTGATTCATCATGATGGAGTTACTATTAGACCATTAATGCTCTTGTTAATGGCTGCAGTAACTTCAGAAAAACATTGTTTATATATAAGAAAACATTTCTAAGGCTACTGTGGACATGGACACACAAAATATAGTCAGTGCATGATTGGAAAAATGTTCAGTGAGTCTTTCTGCCACATTTCCTGTAAATGGTTTAGTCAGAAAATAGCGCAAACAACACAGAACCATAATTCTATCCCTTTATGCATCAATGAGCAGATGCTGCTGAGTGTGTGTGTGTGGGGGGGGGGTGGGGGTTACCTTGAATTTTCACACTAGCGGAACATTAAATATCGTAGCCTATATGAGGATTTAAGTCCTTTGAGGGGACAGCTTTTGACATTAGCTGGAGAGGGAAAGACTTAATTTGAAGTCAAATGCACAGCAATGCAGTTACTGTATGTGGACCAGGGATTGTTTCACACAACTTGTTGACGGTGCTGCTTCAAGTGAAGATTAGACTCAGTCCTTGTCCACACAGAAACACAGATTTCCCAAAACAACCATTTTATTTTTCAAATAATAATAATAATAACTCATAGACTTGCACTGTTTCTACGAATACTTTCATCCACACTAAAACAGCAAAAATGACTCAAAATTCTGTAGCAGCTGTGCTGTCTTTAAATGATAAATGATAAATGGCCCACACTTGTATAGCACCTCTCAGAGTAAAGACTCCAAAGTGCTTTAGGTGGTGCTCTAATGCTGCCACAAAAACACACAGAAAACAGGAAACGGTGTGGAGCGAAGCTCACTGTGTTTGACAGACTTCTACAGTAGATGGGGGTAAAAGCATATATGAGTTTGCTGAAAAAGATGAAATAACCACAGAAGAAGAAAGACTTCTACGTTTATAGGGTACAAACATAAATGAGTCCCAGAATCCAGTGAAAGACATGAGTCTTTAATTGTCCTCAGCAATGCCTCTAACAAAATAGTTCTGCATAAAATGTTCTCCTGGTTCATTTACTGGTACTCTTCTGAGGTGAATGTTACTGTCCATCAGCCATGTGGGCTCATTAGAGGAAAGAGCAACTATGTTCTTCAGCACCATACACAAACATGGCTCTGTCCACGGTGGTTAAGGCTGTAGTTAGGGTACAGGTGTGCTAGTGAAGGTTCTCAGTCGTCCAGGTCATGGTAATTTAGAGGGTTCAAATACTGGAGCTCTAAACTTAATCCCCAAAACAGTCCAGTCCTAACCCTAACCAAGTCCAGGTCATATCCTCCTGCATCTACTCAATACAACCATTCTATCACAATAGGGCTCAACGACATCAACGACTTATTGAGGGGTAGGCAGGAGGGGTATTCTTAGGTAGTTTCAGCTCATTGTGCAACAATAGACAGCTACAGTTTATAAGCTTGACCCTCCCATATTCCAGTCAGAATGGACAAAGCGAAACATAAAGTTTTGGGGCTTCCAAAAGCTGTTGAACCTGCATGTTTAAAATGGTTTCCATGATGACTGCACCTTTTGTCTGGAAATATACTTGATCATTCTATCTGTATCTGCTCCACTTTTCACATAATCACACCTGTCACCTAAGTCCCCTATGTCCTCCGTGGTCCAGGGTGTGAAACCCAGACCTTTGGACCAAATTGATTCTGTGTATTGCAGTATTCACTTCTTACTGCAAGTTAAACCAGCAGCAGAAGAAAAGCAACACAAATTCTTTAAATTTTTAGAGGGTTGCTTAATTGAAAAACAAGTTCCCATCAATATTCTGACCACTTAGCATTTAGGGACCACCAGGATACAAAAAACTCATAGTGAGCTGATGAATCAGCACATTCGACCCAAATGCTAGACCTCACTGTAGAGCACATGGGTTTGTGAGCCTACGAACAGGAGAACACCCGATCACTGATAACACACACTCACATGCAAAGTAGGCACAACTACATTATGTTTCCACTTTTTAGTTTGCAAAGAGAGGACCTCCTCCTCCCCTCTGGTGTGCTTCAGCTCTACCTCCAACGACCCGCCCTGCCATTCAGTAATGTTTCACTGACTGATACAGACTATTCTTTCTCTTTGGGCAATTATACTACACACAATAAGGAACCTGAAAAAACCCAATCTTATCACATATTTACAGTCTAATACATCGCTAAGAAAGGACATTTTTGTCAATTTAGTGACTTTTTCTTACATCTAAGATGTTTTTAGTCAAGTATTAAATTATTTTGATAAGAGTTCTGAAAGCAAAGGAACATCAGATGAAGTATTTGTAAGGTTTGCACAATAAAGTGACCAGTAAGTGTGTGAGTTAAAGCTTCAAATATGAAATAACTGTATTATATTCAGTTGTTTGAATAAATGATGGCAAAATGTGGAAAACAGAAATTTAAATGAAAGCCTCTGTCATCATTCATTTAAATCTGTATTTGATTCATCCAATGCAACACAAGGGTTATATGAAGTGATAATAATTAAATGTTTTATTATTCAGGTCATGGTAATGTCAGGTAATAATGTTTTGTATTCAAAAATTCAGCATTTTATTGTCTTTTGGTTGTTTTATTTGGGAGGGGAAATTTTAATGCATTGTAACACGTACTCTTCTGGATGTAAAACTAAGAATTGTTTTAATGAATTGAATTTAAAACCCAATGAAATGTCTATCAAGTATACATTTGTGTGGAAATCTAAGCAAATAAAACAAAGAAGAATATTTAAAGCCATGCAAACAAAGTAGTTCTAGTTTAATTCTTCCACACGTTTGAAAAGTTTGATCAGTGCTCTCAGAGATTTGGAAGATATTCTTCGTTGAAAGCACAAACTGGTCAAAATCCAGCTTGTGAGATTGGATGTACAAATAAAATTTAAAATAAAAGCAAGCCATGGTCTACCTTCAGGCTCTACATCAGGTAGTTATATAAAAAAAACGACTAAAGTGTTGCAGTGAAGCCTTACCTGAGGCTTTGGGACAGATGCAGCGTTGTTCTTTTGTTTTTGTCCGAATGTGACCTGCTTCAGAGTGACAGGGTGAAACGCCAGCAGCACCGTCTCAGCATCCATCCAGCAGCATCCTCTCCACGGCTCTCCTCCTCACTGACAGCCTCCTCGGCACACACGCTGTAGTAAGAGCTTTGCTCCGCCTCCCTCCACCCCTCGATCCCCTTCCTCCCCTTGATTTAACTAAGCCCATCCGCTCTCATCATGTCAGCACAAACAAAATGGTGATGCTACAACTCTTGGAAAGTGAATTAAAAGAGAGGCAGAAACTCAGCTTGCTGCTTTGTTTGTTGCTATTCACCGGCCACCGATGAGGCATTAAGTCAGATACGTCCTCACTATGTTTCAGAATGAAACAGGATTAAATAGTTCATCTGCATCAATAACAATTACCATGAACACATTAATAATTCAATTGTAGTGGTTTAATAAATGACTGATGATTATGCACCATTAATATTTCATAACACAATCAAATATTTAGTTGATTCTTTTCTTTTTCAGCCACTCTGGTTCACCCTGTTTCATGATCTTATTTTGCAGTCTGCAGTGGTTTTCAGCTTTAAACTCATATTAGACTCTAGAATACACTGGTCTACAGACGACAAGATCATGATTAACTGATGGCTGCAAGGAGCCCAAATCATCATCCCTCCACCACCGTGCCTAGAGCTGGAATGAGCTGTTTGTGCTGAAATTGGTTGGGTTATTTTGTTTTGTTTTGTTTTTGTTTTCTTCACCAAACAAGCGTTTCTGCTATGTGTTCAGTTCAAGCATCACCATTTTGGTCGCATCTGTCCAAAGGACACTGTTCCAGAAATCTTGTGGTTCATTCAGGCATATAAAAGGAGGTTTATCCGGCGCTCCGTCCAAAACGAGTCATACTTGTTTGCTTGTTTTGTGTCTGAGATGGAGCTCTAGGGTTGTTTGTAATTTTTGTAAGGATTACTTTGGGATGAATCATTGAGAAATTGGCACCTGTAGCCCTTTACCTGGCTGGTCAACCAATTGGTAGAGCATATTTTAAGTCCCTACATCTCACTGACAGATTAAATGACCTTAACAAGAAAACTAATCCAAAGCAAGTAACATGGAGATGTTTGAAGAGAAGGCATAACATTTTTACATTGCATTATCAGTACTTTAATAGTATTACTATTATTAATCTACACTATACTAAAGCCCTTATTGTCCCCAATAAAAAAATGCACAAGGGGAAATTTTTATTTTCTTTTATCCTAGTGAGGAAGTTAAATCGTTAATCCTTCCCAGAGTGAGAGGCTCCAACAGTTGCCATCAAAGGTTATTGCAGATGTCTTGTTTCCTTTGCATTGTGTTAACACACACCTGTATGCTCCAGACAAGCCGAGTGGTAAACCTGAAAAACCTGGCTGTTTTTCAATGGTCTTACGGTTTGCTGAACAGTTATTTATTATAAATTTGTTGAACATTTTAATTGAAATAACACTCTGTAGCTTTGTGTTAAAATTAATTTACTGAACCACATTTTAATGTTGTCTGTTCAAAATTTTAACCACCTGAAAGGCTCTACATGCTCAAAAGGACACTACATCCCAACTACTATTAGTGCATTAAATAGTGTGAAATGACTTAATTTACTTTGAGCTTTTCACTAATGAAGCAAGACAATATTATTGCTACAGAAACACTGAACCAAGATTCGTTTTATGTGAGATATTAGCGGTGTAGTGGTGGGTGGGCAGCTGGAAACAAGCTTCTAAATCAGGTTCTGCTTAGGGCTCAATATAATCTGGTGCCAGCTTCATAGATGTATATTAGAGTTGATCCATCCGATGTGGGTACACATGTTTTATAATCATACATTCAGCATAATTCCTTAGACACTGACAGTATTTGTTTTGTGAATTAGCTTTAATGTCACAGTGAATGCAGGACTTTGTGGATTAGTCATCCTGTGTAAGAATTTGTGTTTTCCGTCATCCATTTAAATCTGCTTCTGACTTTATGCACTGCAAAAAGCTTGCTTTCACTCTCCGTACCACAATACCTTCTCATAGATCTATTTTTGGAGCTTTATTTAGCCCTGAAGCTAAACAGCTGCACTTATTATGTGCAATACAACACAAATCCAATGGCCTTTCTGCAATGTGCATTTAAAGGCCATGAAGATGATGTAATTCTACTATTCAGCAAATGCAGCTTAGCGATGCCCAGAAGGCATTTTTAAGAGCAACAGGGGCAACGTGGTCTCTGAAACACGTTAGGTGGTAGCTTCATATGTGACAAGGGTCTGTGTGATGTGAGTTTAGTGTTTGCAGAACAACTGTGTTTTACCGAAATGGGGTTAATGCATCATAGAGGTCCAGGTCTTGTCTGAAGGTTCAGCAGAAACTTAACAGATGCCAGCCGTTTAGAGCAGAACAGGAGCTGGCTTACTGTTGCCCTCTGCTGTCCGCTTCAATGTAATCCTTAACCCTCTGATGCATAATGGTCACTACAGTGGACAGGTACTCAAAATTGTTATTTATTTGTTTTTGCTATTAAGCACAGCTGTTGAAGAGTTTATTGCATGTGAGCCTCTCCATTTGGACTTCAGTAAGCCAAGCCAACATATTTCATGCTCAGAATGCACGCTGTCCACTGAGATGGACATGTAATAAATTACTAGTAAATTATAACATTTTACAAAAAATAATTGTTGACATTTGTTTCATTCACAAATAAGGATGAATGAAAAACATTGTTAAAAAAATCATGGTTGAAGATTTCATAATTCATGCCTTAACCAGTAATCACTATTTTCTGACAGGTGAACCATTTCTCCTCATGGCTTTGCAGAACAGGATTTCTAGTTTGGATGACTGGAAAATGCATTTATTCCTATTCTGTTACCACTTCTTCTTTTAAAGGCCATTTATCATGCAAAGTCAACTTTTGGGAGCTTTGGGAGCTACTTCCTCATGAAAAACACCCCCAAAGTGATTTTTGGCTTCACGCATGCATTTTCCTGTCTCCGTTGCAAATCCTAGCTGGTATGCCCAACAGGCTGCATTCAGCTGGATGGTGTAGTTGCTTTGTCATCACAACCCGCTCCTCCCCATCAGGTAGTCTCGAATCTGGGCCCCTCTTCTCCTGCTGTAAATATAAACACAGAGTATCTCTATATAGCCAACAGGGAGTTTAACCTCCACAGTTGTGATGAAGTAGATTTGTTATCTACTCTGCACTTTAAATAATGCTTGGAACCCAAAAACAGGATTTTTGTCTTTGAGAGGAACAGGATCCTTGTCCACTCTTCCTAAAAGATGGGCAGAAATGATTGGATTTTATATTCAGGAGCTCTGAAAAACCAAGCCAGAATGTGACTGGGATTTCTGCTTGTTAAACAACCTCCAGTACCGGAGTGGGTTTTCAGACAAATTACTTCTTCAAACCACCCACCCTGATGAGAGTAAGTGGTAACAATACAAGAGCAACATCCTGTACTCCACAAACTATGGAATGGTGGGCAGTAACATATGCATAACAAAAAAAACTCATGCAATATGACTGGCATTTTGGAGAGATATTTGGTCAAAACCTGAAACTGGAATTGATACTAGAAACTCAACGGGACAAAAATATGTTGTGTTTAAGTATAAAGTAAATTTTTAAAGAAGTTGTTCCAAATTAGTGAATGTGGGTAGCAGAACCATAACTTAAGAGTAACATGTATTGACTTTGTGAGGGAGGCTTAATGTATTTTGAACTAGACCCTGTTGGGTCGGAGACAATTTGGAGTCGTGCCCTTTTAACCATCAGTCTAATTACACGTATAAACACTTTCTCATTAACTTCCCCTTTGGCAGTAAATGACTGCATCATTATTTATATGCAGCGTCAAGTCAAACTATGTGGTTAGAAGGCAAGGTGCTTAAACGTGACATAGCACATGACGAAGGAGCCCTGGAGAGACATTTACGATGGAAAGGAAGAAGAGAGTGACAGCAAACAGGGCTGAGATGTGGAGGCTTCGTTTATTCCAAATGACTGATAAATGCCAAATTCATCACCATGCATGCTGATAGCTTAAGGTCAGCGGTGTATGTGTGTGTGTGTGTCAGTTTTGTCATGTGACTGCCTGCTTGAGTACTTCAAATCTTTGTTAAGAAAGGTAGCTGCGGGTAAAGTGTCTCTCTTTCTCTACATGCCTCAATTTTCTCATCCTGTGTGTTTGTTGTTCTAGAAGGTGTTTGATACCTATGTGGAAATTTGACAAACTGTAACTTTCTTGTCATTTTCAAGCAATGTGTGTGAAAGAAAGTTTGGAGCTCAACGCCAGAATTAAAATTTTATGTTATTGTGAGCAATGGGGTTCAGCCATTGGTTAACAGGTTTAGGATCTGGTTAAGAAAGCTTTATGTGACATTTGTAGATGTGCAGTTGAGGATCTGACTGCCAAGGTGTTCGTTTCCATCTGACACACTGGCTATCAGGAACGTTGCAGGTGTGGTTTTCCTCTCATTTGTCCTAGCATTTCCTTCTTTGTGACTGTCTCCAAGTTTCAGTTCTTTTCCACTTCAATTGCCCATGGTGTCCCTCAAGGTTCTGTGCTGGGGCTACAATTGTTCCTACTTTATCTGCTCCATCTCTAGCACATCCTGGGGTCTTTAAAATAAATCTCCTACCATCAGAGGGACAACAATGGCAGAGGACTAAACTGCTCACCCACTAACTGGAGGGTGGTAGGTTCACACCCTCAGTCTGTCCAAGTCATCCCCTTGGGCAAGTTACTTCACCCTCCTTGCCTGCCGGTGGCGAACGGAGAGATCTTTGGTGTTTGTGTACGGCAGCCTCGCCTCTGTCACTGTGCTCCAGGGCAGCTGTGGCTACAACGTTCATCACCATGAGTGTGTGAATGAATGAGTCAAGTGTGGTATAAAGCACTTAGGAGTCTTGATTTAGAATACAAGTATTTACCATTTATCTTTATGCAGATGACACTTAACTAAACCCCATTAAGAATATTGGTGTGACCTTTGACCCAGCTCTCACTCTGGATTCACGTCAGTTCTCTGGTTAGCTCTTCTTTCATCTCAGCAACTGACAGACCTCAGTCACACAGTGTTGCCTCATTTCAGTAAAAACATATAAATCAGAAATTGACTGCCTTATGAAATTGTGTGTGTGTGTGTGTGTGTGTGTGTGTGTGTGTGTGTGTGTGTGTGTGTGTGTGTGTGTGTGTGTGTGTGTGTGTGTGTGTGTGATCAGGTCTGGAAATAAACATTTAAAATCACTACAGTAAATAATGTTCAGATGAGCATTGAGGTCAGAGTTTATAATCCTCAGCCTCTGGCCTGTGAGGCTGCTCATTCTTCTGCCTAAAGGAAGGAAGAAGGGTCACCAGTTTATGGGCTCAACGGGGGGGGCATCTGGTGACCTTTTAATAATCCGCGCTGTGCTTAACTCCTAACTATGGCTATACTTTAAAAGGAAGAAGCTAACTAGAAAAAAGGACACACAGAAGACAACAGGACGTGAGTAAATGAGGCTTGAGCTAGTCATTTATTGTTACAGAAGTTAACGTGGTTAACTGCATTGAAAGTGATACAATACACCTCTTTAAGCTGTGAGAGGTCCCTGTCACAATGTAATGAATCAAAAGGGTCAATTTTCACCATCGAATTGACACAGTAACCTTTCATACATGCCAGAGCTGCAAAGTCAAGGTTACAACAGCTGGAGGATCCAAGCGCACAAATCAACCTTTTGCTCACTTATCGTTCTTCAACGCAGACATAAATAAACTGCTAAGGTGTCCCGCAAAAGCCTTATCTCCCTGCGTAAAACAAGATGTTAAAATGAAATGTTTGAATAATCTGTGCTTAAATCAATGAATTTGAAATGAATGTTGCTCTTGCAATGATCTATTGCAGATCTTATGATCACTATGTGTTTGATTTAACAAGTTAATCATTATCTACACTCATATACATCTTCATAAGATACAAATTAAGGTTAAGGTTCACCTCACATAACGTTTAAAGATTCTTATTCACAGTGTTAAGAATCTTGTATCTGAAGGAAGGAGTGGCTTTCTGAGGAATGTTTTGTTAAAGCCTTCCAGACATGGCACATTCTGATTTGCCAGAATACGCCAGAAATCATGACAAGGTAGTTTGATAAAACAAGAATTAATTCCAGAATAATTCAGTTTCTAGCGGAGTTCCGAACCGGCCAATTCGGAACAAGCATCCTTGAGACATCTCTTTTGACATCCAGTCAACCTGCTGGCACGCTGCAAGCTGACACAGCCAGACAGCTCCCTAAGAGCCACATCCACTTGGACCCCAACAAGCATTTCAGCTACTGTTGTGACCTGGAAACATCTCAAGACTGGACGGGTCGTATCGAAGTCAATCTACCGAACCCCGGTGCCGTGAGGTCCACCCGACTTCTGACAAACCGAATCTGCTGGGGGTTATTACCAGGGTTTGTAGACACAACAGATTGTGTCTGATGCTGTTTAATTAATAATCAACTCTCTAGTTTATAGCAGACAAATTCTTTTACACCCAGATTTCACAATTTCTTTCAGATACGATTCTGATAAACATCCAACTTACATCACACCACCTACACGTCACATTCCATCACCGCCTATCCACTCCATCACATATCATTATTCATATCTTGTCATGTATAACCATTAGTTTAGAAAAGAATAAAATTCCTTTTTAACTATATATCTGATTCTGTCTGAATTAATGCGAAGTGTGTTTATGGTCCCTGAACAGGTAAAAATAACTAGAATCTTCTGATTAAACATTCAAAGATCAATCAGATTGATATTTCATATTTATATGGAATCATCACATCTTGTCATAATTAATTTGCAGTCGTCATGCTATAAAGCGTGACCGCTACAACAGGGAGAAAGCTGGAGAAATAGTCACACAGTATGTTTTATTGGCAAGTAGATATGTTTAATAAGTACATTCTCTTTTACCTGGTGGTCATGTACAATATACATGTTAAAAATATATAGTTTGTTTGCTTTGTGATCGTCGTTTTCCTTTTTTGTTCAGGATGTTCATGATGAAACTTTTCACATTTAATCATTACAGGTTCTTGGATGGCGCTGGAGCTAAAGACCACTGTTGTTTGCTTGGACTGCTATTTATACACAAAGGCATATGCATAGAAGGCACGTCTATGCACTTAAACCACTTGCATGACAAATGGAAAGAAGCTTTAGCATATGGACAGGAAACAAAAAGGAAAAATGATCTGTGAACACTCTTAGAACATACACACAACCCTGAACACACACACTAAGGGACACAAAACATCACAAGCAGGTACAAAGTAATCTATTCCACAACAAAGCTGCACAAAGTACAGCACACTACAGAGTTTCTCTGTCAGAAGGTGACGTTCGCTCAGGAAAATGTTCAAACACTTGCTGAGAAGTAGCAGAAGTCGATGCAAATCCAAAAAACTCTCATTTCATGACTTTTAAAGTTACAGAAAGAAGCTGTTCAGTCCTGGATCAATCGCTGCTGAAAAGAAAACTGTCTAGAAAGGCAAAGAGGAGAGCAGCTTCTCTCTTCCATCCATCAAAGGAGAGACTGAGTCAGCGTTGCTGCAGCGAGTCCACCCACAACGCTGCAGTTTCTCAAGGCGGAACGATGGCAAGCAAGTGTAGCAGAGCTTGACAAAGTACTGAGGCCACAAGTCTGTGTGAGTGTTAGTGACTTCCCCGTTTACGGCAGCTGATCTCTCATGAAAAAGTTTGACATTTTGAAAAAAAAAATACTGTTATTTGACACTTCTGGATCCACTCGTCAACCCTGTTCTGTCAGTAAAAGCTGGTGATCACCCATCTTTAACAGATGCCTACAACGAAACTAAACGGACCCAGGGATGGCCGCAGAAGCCAAGCCTCCGGTCCGGTTCACACCTTCCAGATGAACATGAAACGTGGTGCATAAACCCCGCCCCCTTCACAGACTAACCCTTTCAATCAAAGCATCACCTCTCGCCTTCATAAGAGGATTTTGTGTGAAAACCTGACATGTAGTAAATATTTACTTTTATTTTATATACAATTTGTGATTTCTGATGCAGAAAAGGTCACACATGTGCATCCTCCCTCTTCGAGGTGCGTTTTAGGGATGGAGACATTTTATCAAGATGTGCTTCACCTGATTTATTTGGGTGGGGGGGTGGGTCACGAGTCAGAACTTAATCTCAAAATTAAAGACGAGTAAAGTTAATGTTTCTTTAGATCATTTTCCCTAACTATTACATTTAAGTGTATTTTCCGAAATGTCAAACAACTGCTTTGAATTGAACCCAGACTAAGAGATCAGCAAACATACTCTCACTTACACTTCTAAGCTTAGCGGCACGTGTGTGAATAAACCATTGGACTACAATCACATCCATGACTGATCTACGCGGTCAAAGCTGAGAGACACGGGATCGCTTCATCAAACACAAAATCTTAAACTTAAGTACATGTGGTGCTCAAAATAGGCAATGGTACACAAAAGGCATTTGTCCTCAAAAAGAAAGAGTTAATATGCACTTTAAAAAAAACTGAAGAAAAGTTTTGGCACTGCCATGAGTCTGCAGCGATGCCTGCAACTAAAATACACAATAGATTCCCCTCAAACCTTAAAAGGTCAACGTACTGACTGTGACAGAGAAATGCAGGCTGCTATGGTAACTCCTCCCTAAACCCAGATTAGATTATATTCATAAAGGTTATACAGGGCTTGAGTGGAGCTACCATGCTGCAGCATTGATGATGTTCAGTTTGAGCCCAGGAGTGGTGACGTAGGAGAGTGTGAAGATGACTTAAATCTGTCAACCAGACAGATGAGACCATTTAGTCTCTAAGCGGACTGGATTTGAGTTTCTCTTTCAGCTGGTTCCACACCAAAAAGAAAAACTCTCTAAGAATCCTAAATCATGTGATGTTGTTTTGAATACTGACACTAATGGCTGGAAATGTTACCCTCATCTCCTTCAGCCTGAACGCACTTAAAGGCTAACCAGATTAATAACGTGGTAAGTGTTTACAAACTGTAGCTTAAAAATATATATTTATATATACTTGTGGGTTTGGCACAAGCCTTTTCCAAGAAACTCCTTGTGTATTTTTCAAAATCTTTGTTACTTTGGTCATTAAAAATTACAAGAAAAAAGCAAGATGAGTGAAGGTTAGTTGTGTCTGTCCCTCTGAGGAGAGGAGAGTGCTCCCTGTTGATAACCCGTGTTAGGTCGGATGGACAAAGGCTGAACTCAACCTGTTCAATGAGTTGGTTAGGCCTCTCCTCTGACGATCACAGTGGTTTCAAATTCAACTCAAGGGAAAATGTTTGTGTAGAAAAATCAAGAAAAAGGTGCCGCCGCTGCAGACTCTGGTGTCTGGTCTCCCTCGTAGTTTAGTTTGTTCTGTTTAGGCACCCTCTCCTCTCCCCCCCCAGTGTCCTGCGTCATCATGGTTGAGTCTCAGGCTTCAAGGTGTGGCTGGCGAAAACTGTCAGGTATCAAGATCCTGGAAGGGAATAACAATGCATATTGTAATTAGGGTGTTTTTCTTCTGGCTTAATTTTAAACAGTTTCCTGGTTTTAAGGTTTTATTTTTTGCAAGTTCGTTTTAATCATCTCGAACATCTTTCTGCAAAGTAAAGGTTCTTCACATTTACTCTGACAAGAGCGCGTAATGCCATGGCTTTACACTAGGAAGGTTTTCACACAACTTGCTGAACATCTGAATTATTAATAGGGCTGAACGATGATTTCTAATCAAGTACGTGTTTTCTGACGACACTATCATGTGATCGCCAACGGCGCAATTTTTTGCAGGCTCCTGACTGACCCTGAATCTGTTGCTTCAACTATCCAGACACATCCAGAGGTTTCCTCAGGTTATGTCTGTAGCAACGAGCGTCGGCGAGGCGGGGCCTGGGCTGCAGGAGTTTGATGCTTGAACAACAGTAATGAGCTCGTCAGGACCAGGAGAATTTGGTCAGTTATTTGTGGTTCTTTCTTTTGGTGGCGGTACTACGGCCGATGTTATTCAAAGCTGGGGTAATCTGTCTCCCTTGCTCATTTTCTGTCCTCTCAGCATCATTTGCTAGTGTGAGAGGGAGGGGCAGAAAGGCATTTATCATGATAATATTACGTTGAACTGAAAGCACAACTTCCCCATGATGGCAAAAACCTTTGCAGTCTTGCGCTAAACCAAACTGCGAATGCAAAAAAGTGTCAGTGTTCTGTGTTAGAGCGGTGTTTTAGTGAGAGAAAAAAAGCATTCAGGCAGCCCAACCTGGTAAAACAATGCATATTATTAACTATATTTTAATTAATACCTTTGAAAGCAATTCAGTTTTCATCTTTTCCATTATTATAGCAATAGCTTTCAATGTTTTGGACTTCCAAATATTTTGTAGGAAATAATCAAACTAAAATATAAAAACATGAAATATTTGGTTACGCTGGCTAAACTAATTACTGCCAACACCACAGGGATTCAAACCCACGTCAGCACCTGGTACAAATGGGATGGCAGGTAGGCACCAAACCTAGTTTATGGGTCTGCGTCTGTATGAAGACACGCAACGCCATTATCTGTCCTTGCGAGGGCTCTCCAGCAGGCTCGCAAGTACGGACGGAGTCGAGCTCACTTTTATTTTATTTAATGTTTATTTAACCAGGTGAGTCGATGGAGAACTCATTCTCATTTATAACGGCAATCTGGCCTAGAGGCATTTCTAAGCATCCGTCAAACGAGACAGAGAACACAAGCTTGTGATTGGTCAGGACGTCGCTGTCGTCAACAGCGCCACCATTGCGCTCTCAAAAACATAGAGAGAGCCAAAGATATCTAGCGGTAGACACAGAGCAGCTTGAAGAATACCTTGCGGAAAAACTCTAAAAATATGAACATTTTGTTCACTCATGACTGGAGGAGTACAAAGAAGCGCAGCAAGCATTTTATTCATGGACTGAAATGACAGGAAACGTAGATTTAGAGGTGGTGAGCGCATAATGAGGGACAAATTTGTCCCTGTCAAAAAGCATCTGAAATACAAAAAACACAATATAAACAGAATATTAAATGCACTTTCTTGGACCCGATACATGACAGGATACCCCAGAACAGCGCTACACCCTCTGTTGTCCTGGCGGGGTCTCCCCAGGAGACAGAAAAGTCCAAGAGCAAAATGTCTCTGTGCGTCTCTCCCTTGTGGAGCTGACGCTGAAGCAAAAACTTGGATTAAGACACTGCTGTAGGCATGTTTTGTCGGTGTGGGCAGAGTTTCACTGAAATAAAGTTTTATTTTCGGGTATAAATTCAGGCTGACAAAAATAACTTGTATTTAAGACAAATGACATTTCAATGGTACCATTAGTACAATTTTATCATATACCGTGAAGCGGGAGCTGTCGGAGAGGATTGCGCATATGAATGTCAGTATAAACTTGAAAACTGTCAGTTTAAGGACTTTTTGTGATACATGAACGTTATTTTAGTTAGAAATGTTACAGTAAAAGTGCTTGTATTGCGGTCTCAGCTCGTATGTTCGGCCGCTCGGTGTCGTACTTCTCCCGCTACGTTTTACCCCTGATTTTAATAGGAGTTTGTATTTTAGGGACAAAAGAGAAAACCAGGGAATTTATTAAGCTTAGGGCGGAGATGGACCACATGATCACTGGAGCAAAGCATTTGGCGGCTGTGGCATGGAGGTACAATAACAGCTCATATTTTAAGTTTAGTTTTTTCTGCGAAAACACGAAAGGAATAACCTGTTGTCCTCCTTTCTCTGACTTTTCTCTTCCTGTTTCTTTTCTTACATGTTTGTTAAGACTATTCTGGAGAAAATGGGCATCCAGGGGAAGGTGCCAGCGATGACCAGCTTCTGGAGCTGATCAGGGAGGGCATGAGGCTGCAGAGGGAGGCAGAGCAGCAGAGGGCTCAGGAGAGAAGGGAGAACTTTGACAGCTTTTTACTTTACTAGAAATAACGGTTAAGAAAGATTAAACATGTACATATAAAAGAAATATCTAAATAAAATCAGTTCTGTATTAAACTCTTGAATTTTATTTTTGTTTACAAATGAGAATTGTTTACTAGAGGGTATCCGCTGGGTCTGAAAAGTCTTAAAAGGCGATAAATCGGTTTTGGTCAAATTAAGACCCTTAGAAAGTATTAAAAACTATTATCACATCTTTGCTCAGGCTCAGCTTGTCGAAAGTATTTTCTCCGAATTAGCTCTCCAACAGTCAAGGAAATTATTAAAAAGTTAAATAAAACTTCGAGCTCCATCGTTTAAAGTTCCTTCTCCCTTCTGCTCAGCGGTTCCACGGTTGCTAGGCGACGGAACGTTCGCCAAGGGAGTGGCGGGAAATCATGAAGGCTAGGCCTGTCCAAATTCACAGCCGTTAACATCCGGTCTACTCGGCCGACGGAGGACCCAGCCCACGTCGGCCGAGTAGGCCGGGTCCTTCGAAGGATGCAGACCCTGAATTGAGACACAGCGGCTGTCTCTCTTCATGCTGTCCACCGCCTCAGACATGAAACCACTGCTGTTGTAAGAGCAACAGAAAACATTTTAAATTTGATTTGAGCAGCCACACATACAGGAACTATTCAGCCACTTTGAAGCATGTGTGTTTTAGGTGGCAAACTGGAGGTATGGCACAGCCCTAATTTGTTTGATCTGAATCGAATCATAGTTAAAGTGAACAGAAAGATAGAAAATTAAGACATTCGGTAACTTTATAATAAATATATAATAGGTGAACCTCATTATAAGGACGAATGATAAAACTGCATTCTCAGTGTTGGCTACGAGGCTATGGAATGAGTTGCCTTTATTCGTGTGCCAGTTGCCTTCTTTGCTGGTTTTTACGTTCCGTTTGTCGAAGCGCAGTATTCTTTTATTAGGTTTTATGCTTTTATAGCCATTTTATATCATCTTATTTGTACTTGTTGCCTGCTGTATTGTCCAGCACCATGGGCGTCTGATAAGGTCGTGGAAGGGGCTTTACAAATAAAGTCAAATGAAATGTTCCAAAGGAGAGGAGCTGCTCTGATCTATTATGTTAATATCTCCATTTATCTAGGTTATGTTTGGCATTGTTTACATGAACAACAGATGTAACACTGAATATTATCATTTCTGTGTTGTTGTAATTACCTGGAATTAATAGCAGCACTCTGCTGTTGAAGGTCAGTCTCATCTGAAGCTCTTCTGCTGCTGCATCAGACTCACATTCTCATAGACCCTGGAGCTGTCCTCCCTCATCCTGACAAACACACCCCTCAGTGAGACACAACCTGACATGGGGTCAAACAGCAGATCATTTCTGTCTACTCACTCTGTGCAGGTGGGAGTGGGAATGGGTGTGCAAGGAGGCAAAGGGCTCTGCTCTCCACCACTCAGGTCAGACAAAGAGTATTTTATGTTGGTGTACTCACGCCCTTTGATCTTACTTTTCTGTTGAAGAGACACAGAGAATGGCTACAGAAGAAAACACAAAAAAAGGAGTAAAATGAAGAATCAAGGCATCTGCTGCACACCTGCTCCTCTTCTATGCGCCTCTGCAGGGTTTCTATGTAGTGCTGCACAGCCATGTAGATGAACCTGTACTGGGCCTCCGTCTGCACCATCCCAGAGCGCAGAGAACGAACCATCTGGATGCTCTTTGGTACATCAATATCACAGTCCACCCCTGCAGCAACAGAAAAATTGCTCTCTAATTTCTCTCTGGGATTAATAAAGTATCTTTGAATTTGAATTGAATTGAATTTCTGATTGTTGCACAAACTTCATTTTAATGCTTTTTACTTTATCTTTGTCAACCACAGACTAAAAGTTTAAAACCTCTGGGAACCGTGGATACAAGGACATGTACAGACATTCATTCCTTTAGGTTATTTTTTATATATCGTTCATGTGGTGAATTTTATTAAAGTCACAGCATGTTACAGAGACAAAGATGAGAGAATATTTTAATAACAATAACAGGGATGTTTTAGTTTGTACCCTGTTGTTCAGCTGAAGGGTTCATTAATAAAGTATGTTTTTGTGTTATAGCTAATGTATACCTTGTGCTGATGAAAAGCCAACTCACCCTTTTCTCTGATCACATCTATCAGGATGTCTATCACAATAAATGTTCCTGTCCGCCCGATCCCTGCACTGGAAAAGACCAAACAGAAACGGAGTAAAGGTTTTCCCTCCAGCGCCGCCGCCCCCGTGTCTTTTAGATTCCTACCTGCAGTGTACCGTTATTGGCCCAGCATCAGCAACGCTCTCCTGTTTGAGGTTGACTTCCTCCAGGAAGTCCAGTACACCACCTGGGTCAGCAGGAACACCATGGTCTGGCCAGGTTTTGAAGTGGTACTGCCACACTGTGCGTTCTGTGTTAGCCTGACAACAATGTTTAGATGGTGCGTCACTAAGAACTTCAGTAAAATGAAAATAATTTTCAGACCCCCAAGAAGAAAACAATTTAAAGTTGTGGATCACTCGTTTAACCAATACATTTGCAGTAGTCTCCAGTAGGAATGAATGCCTTGCAGGCAGAACTCAGGCCACAAAAAGCCCACAAACCCCTATCTCAGCAGATAATTGGACATCTTGCCTCAGACTGGACAACAGCAACGCGACTCTACCACTAACTCTGTTTGCTCGGGGACATGGATGTTTTACCTCCACAAATAACAAGCCTGGAGGAGCTTCAGCTGTGTGAGTGAGTTGCTAACGCTAGCGCTTATCTTCGGTTTACTGAGACATTTTCTGCTGATTCTGGACAATAAAACAACAACAGCCTTCCCCACCGTGAGTCAATATGGGTAAGTCCAATTCACCGTCTACTTTCTATCAGAAGCTAATGCAGGAGATTGGTGTAAGAAACTATTTTCATGTTCAACCTGCATTAAAACTCAAGAGTGACCGATTATAATCAGAAATAATCATTAAAAATGTTTTTTCAGTTAACCATTAACTAATACTAAAGTCATAATGGTCAATAAAACTATTCCTACAAACCACCAACAGCTTACCTGCCCAACTTTGGACAGCTTCAGTTCTCGTAGGGTGTAGTCGTGGGCGGTCGTCTCCCTGACATTGCGAACACGCATGGCGCCATACTCCTTCAGAGCAGACATGTCTGGCCAGTACTTCACACACTTACTCTGTTGAAACATTTATGTTCATTTAGTTCAGCTTTTGTTGAAAAACGTCTGATTTTACTATTACTAATAAAACACCCTGATGTAATATCAAGCAATCAGAGATTTTGTGATCAACTTTTAGCTGACTAATAGAGGTATAATATGTTTGTGATGTTGATTAGCTGTGGTCATCTAGAAACTTATTCAGTCGTTGATGTACATGTAATGATTACTTTCTGGGAGTTTCACAAAACTCAGCCTGGTACCCGTTACTAATGGAAACAGATGTGAAACTGCACTGAGGAGGTAGAGATGGAAAACCCATACCTGTCAGATGCTTATTTACAAATGCTGTGAAAATAAGTCTGGTATGAAAATGAGCTTAGTATCAAACGAGGACTTTTGTGATCAACTGTCCTTCATCTGACGTCTCCTCTAAACTTGATGTAAACGATCATAAAATTGAGGCAGCAAACATTCTGACTGATATTTGTTTTATTCTCTAAACTTTTAGTCACTGCTGTTGTACCCAACTTGTGTAGATTACCTTTCCTCTTTCCACCTCTTTGGTGGTCATGACGATGACTCGAGACTCTTCCTGAAAAACCATCCGCCAGAAGTCACTGATGGTGTTCTGCAAGCAGCCCTGAGTAGCTATGTAGCTCTTCTTTACTTTGTTGGTGTTGTTTAGGCTCACATCCGGCTGCAAACACACGCACATTTAGCAAAAACAACAAACACAAATATCTGAAGTACAAACTAACGGACAACACAGAACAGCTGTGTCTGTCCTGATGAAGGCAGCAGGTATTACTATGATGATATTGGCGTTGATGTAGTCGGAGCCTAGTTCGTTAGGGTCCCCGTCGTTCAGCACCACACGCGAGTGGTCGACTGCAAACACAAACAAAAACAGAAGAGCTGGTTGGTTCAAACGTCCCAACAGCTGGTACCTAAATCATCACACTTGGAGGCGTAGAGGTTCCTCACAAGGAAGGATGTTCTTGTATCGGTTCTTGTTTTTGTTCTCTGGTCTCTGACCCTCTTTGCGGCTGTAGAGCAGTTTGCACTCCTGTTGCTGTAAAGTCTAAATGAGGAAAAAGAAAGACAACATTTACAAGACAGTTTCCACAATAACTTACAGCATTTAATGAAAAAACATCACTAACCAACATATTTTAATGTTTTAAAAGAAAAATCTATATCACTTGTCTTATCTCTTTATTTATCAATCAGTAACATTTAATCACTTCAGGGTTAATTTCCTGGTTTCTACACTCAGTCTGTCTAAAAGCTTCAGTCTCACCTCAAACTCCTCCCAGAAACCTTGTTTGACCTTGTCAGTGGCCTCCGCTAGTTTACTCAGCTCTCGAACTCGACTTTCAATCTCTGCTGCATTTATACGAGTAGTGTTTAGGGGCTGCGGACGAAGGCAGAACAAACGTTCACAGATCAGGTGTTTCAGTATAAGATCATGGCTACACGTGGTTGAGGACGGGTGAAACTAAAACGAGGCGAACCTGTTTGAGCTGAAGCACGGTGCCGAGGGTTTCCACCATGGGGTTCTTCTTGTAGTGCTCCACCAAGTCTGTGAGGGAATCAAACTTCTCCCCTCCACCCACGTCGTACTTCAGGTCATGCTGGGGACGAAGAAACAAGCCACCATCAGACAACCGTGTTGGGTACAAATGTGAAGAGAAGGATGCTTTGGGTCCACCTTGTTAATGATATGTGGGAAGAAACGCCGTCACAGTTCAGTCGGATCCGAGAACATTTTATATAAACGTCTAATAAATGAGAAACTTCACCTCGGTTTTAAACTATCAGCAAACAGCACTGTGATATTGGTTAAATGTTTCATTTAACCACAATAAAAGTTTTCTTCAGGGACGGATTTAAATTATTATTTAAAGCAGTGGTTCCCAACCTTTTTCCCAAGGGACCCCGTTTTTTACCAGTAAAATTTTTGACGACCCCCTCCCATTCTCTCTTCCAGTACAAACATTAAGAAATGATAAAATTGTTCAAGCACATTTTAATATGCTTTGATTCAATAGATAACAGTAATAGTAGGCTCCAGTACAGAACAAAGTCATTAACAAAACCAAACAGAGCATAATGTGCTTGACAGTTTGTATTACTTTTCTGAGCACATTGTTTCTTGTAAACACTGATAAATCAATCATTCATTTCAATAAACGTTTGACACATAAAAAATACACTGAGCAAAATGTACTTAAATGTGTATATTACTGTTTATACTAGATTATTTACTGTAAAGGCTGTGATTAATCCACCAGTCCTATCTTTAATGAACTTTTGACACTTGAAAATAAAACAGTGAGCTGAGCAAAATGTTCTTAAAAGTGTTACTTTTTTTGTACTAATTATTTCCTGTCTTCATATCAGTAAACTTTTCACTCATGAAAAAAATGTGAGCAAAATGTAGGCTATAAACAAGTAATAAATGAAGTTTTAACCCCTTAAAGTGGAGAGGTCCTGGCGACCCACTGAGAGGCTTTGGCGCCCCCTTGTGGGGGTCGGGACCCCCAGGTTAGGAACCACTGATTTAAAGAATCAGCTACAGCCTACTGACGCTGATCTAAAGTAAGAGTCATCTTGTTTAATGAGAACTCATAACGCCACAAACCCAACACGACGACAGGAATGTAAGTACGTTTAAAAAAACTAACGTGATGATTGTTAAAACATCAGGATGTTAAACTGTAGACATTTCTGGTATTCAGTCTAATAAACAGTTTAAATCAGATTGCATTCAATACAGCCTCATTTTACATCAGAGAATAAATTAAGTGATTTATGTGACCGGATCAGAGAGAAATAAACTCAGATGCTTCTGACCCGACCCAAACAGCAACACATACTCACTCACTAACCTACTAAAACATTCCTCTCTGGTTAAATCTGGGAACACTGGTTTTCCCGTCATGGTCTCTCCCACGCTTTCCATTAACGCAACCTGCTCTCTTTATACATGAAGCCTCCTTTATAACTTTGGGTTTAATAAAGTGGTTTTTGAGTGGAAACGATGTGTGGAATGTGACTTCTTGTGTGAACGCTCAGAGTAAAGCTGAAATCTTGAATGAACAAATAAACATCTTAACCATCACTGTGGTGCCGATAATCATCCTTTAGTCATGTTTCAGAAAGAGCTGCAGCAAACTCTGCTTCAGACGCCGTCTTCGTTGTTTATGAGAAACTGAGCGTTGCGATGTGTGACGTACGCTGCTCAGCGCTGATTGGCTCGGTTAGAATTCTCAGGGGGAGGGGTTATTTGAAGAGGCTGGTCAGGCTAGGCAAAGCCTGGAAGTAAAAGTAAAAAAATAATGTCTTTTAAGGCAAAGCAAAGAGCTAAACCAGAGGGAACATTGGTGCAGCCTATGCTAGTTTGAAGGAGCTAAAGGAGGCTACAAAATAACCAGGCGATGGTGACCTGGCCTTGTTGCTACTAGACTTGTAAATAAGATTTTCTGTCCAACGGTGTGGATCACTTAATGATTTATTTTGTTATTAGTTGGCTCATGTTAGTGTTAGCTTGTTGTTAGCGCTAGCTACAGAAGGCTGCAGCAGGGTTGTTTGTGACAGCTGTAATTCAACTTTAAACCAGTAGGACAAAGGAGCAGGAAACTATCTAGTGTTACTTTAACTCCTTGAGTTGTTTGTGGTTTAGTAAGTCAGAAGTATAATGTGTGCTCTGAGGATATTAAATGGTAACGTCAACACACAGGTGGCCGTACACACAGCTCTTTCTGTAATAAACCATCACAAAGGACCAGTGACTCGCAGCAGTGAGTGTGTGTGTGTGTGTGTGTGTGTGTGTGTGTGTGTGTGTGTGTGTGTGTGTGTGTGTGTGTGTGTGTGTGTGTGTGTGTGTGTGTGTGTGTGTGTGTTAGGAAAATCAGAAGTTTGTGTTGAAGAGCAAAACATAAAAGCTTTGTGATTATTTTTAATGTCATAAAAAGGAGGTTTGGTCTTGAGCTTTTCTTCAGGCAGCAGCCCTATTTTAGTGAAGCGTACACTATGTTTAGTAATAATGATCATGAAAAATGAGAAGAAACTGTGTTGACTTGGTGTTGGTTTTCTCTTACCTGCTTTCTCGTGATCGCTCTCACCAACAGATCAGACACAAAATCGTAAACTAACTGGTTTTAAAGCACTGGCAGAGTTTCAGACAACAGCAGGAAGCAAACACCAACAGCTCCAGCATTCCTGGTGGCTAATTGTTAGCCCTGGAGATTTACACCCTCCCTGGTGTAGAGGGTGATTCTGTCAGAACAGAGAGACTACACACAGAGCTCAATTTGTGTTTTAATCTAATTTACTTTGAGTTATCAGTGTGCAGACTCTACCGGACTCATATCTAGAGTTGGTGAACAAATCCCCACTAACGCCATGCTGTTGTGTGTTGGTACATGATGGGAAACACTCTCTGCTGAGTGACCTCAAGGCAATCATGAAGGAGCAGGTGTGAATTATTTATCAGTGCTCATTATCAAGATTTATGGATGTTGGTGGATTTGGTCTTGCGTGCCACTTATCTAAAAAAAGATTCACATTGCAGCTTTATCCCAGTGTTTCTAAAACCTCTGTGTTTATGGTGCACGTTCAAGAACAATATGGTATGGTTTTCCTCATGTAACCCTTGGATTTGTAACTAAAGTAAAAGTAGAAACAAACTAATGCACTAACTAGACCCAGCTCTCAATTCCACCAAACAAATAATAAAAACAAACAAATTCTAAAAACTATATTGAAATTACAATAATATAATATTCCTTTAGAAATGCCCCACAGTTAGTTAGCTTCCACAAACATTTAGGAGGAAAGGGCTTGATGAGCCACAGTTACCTGATCAGTCGTGTAACTTAAATGAAACATTTCAAATGCAGCTGTGTGGTCAGGCGAGTCTGAACAACATCGAGCTTAAAACCAGAAAACATCAGGTGCTGCTGGTCTTCCCTACACGAGAGAGGCAGCTTCCAGGCTGTGAAGCCTAATTCTGAAGGTTCTTGATATGCAAATGATCAGAGGTTTACTGATAAGTGGACATGGATAAACAAAAACAGAAGACATAGAGATCAACTGGTTTTTCCAGTCCTCTTCCACATTTTTGTACAGAAGTTTTACATTTAACACTGAATTGATGAAAAAAAAAAGATTGTGACTCAATTAGCAAACTGTACATTTAAAACTAGACTGATGTCATACAGAGGGCGTGTTGGTTTCACCTGGCAGTGGATCATGACATGAGTAACTTTGGGTTTGCTGTCGCTGGAGTCCATCTTGTCATCTCCAGTTCGGACCGACAGGACGAAGTCCCCCGGGTGACTCTGGCTCTCTCTCACCAGGAAGCTGCCGTTCTTGCCTTTCTCCGTCAGCAGCTTCTCCGCCTCCCGGCCCGACAAGTGTCCGTGGAACCATCTGCAGAGTTAAAGCTTCGTTTCAGTTCTGCATCAGAGTTAAGCAGGTAAGACTGTTGTGGCACAAAAGCCAAGTTGTTATGGAGAAAATCTACAGTCTGTCTTCTTTAGAAATGCGATTTTGTTCAGAAACTTTGATTTATTATAAAATAAATCATTTTTTATTTGTACTAAAATGCGCTCATGCTCAAACCCCAAATAACAGTGTTGTGAAAAGACCAACAAGGCACTCATATTCAATAACTACTACAGAGGAGCATTTGTCATTATTAGACGACAGATAATAAAAACCTTGAAATCTGATTATATGTTGGCTCTCTCAGTCTTCTGAGATGAAAAGTGTCCAATCTAAAATCAGATTTAGGAGTGGTTCATTCATTTAAATGTTTGCTGAACCCTGAAGCACAACAATATTATAATTTTCTTCAAAGGAACATAAAGAAAAAAGTATTACAGCCCCAAATTACAATGTTGGACCGGAGGATTGTTTGTATTTGAAGCATCCCTCTGTCCCTCAAAAACCCACAACAAACCAGGAGATAATTACAGCACGGCTGAAAAAAACTAAATAAAATCAGAAATCACAAACTTCATTCTCACATACATGTGGTCTCAGTTTTAATAAACGCCGACTCCAGGAAGCCTAAATGCCTTCCCCTCCTGTCGGCTCAGGGGTCCTCTGAACTAAAAGGAATGAATATAAGTGAACGGGACTATATAAGGTATTTTTGGTCCGCTTTGCCTTCCCATGTGTATTTTCTGGCTTTCAGTTATTTTCTTCACTTTACAATCCCAGAAGGTACAAATCAGATATGCTAACAAAAACACCATGACTGGTTCCAAATCAGTAAGGAATTCTCTCTCTTTTCCTCCTCTGAGGCTGCATGTAAACATCGCAGCTCTCCGTCTAAAGCCAAAAGAACCAGAAACATTGCCCCAGTCATTGGTTTCAGTGTGTGTGTTAGCATGATCACTGCAATGAAACACAGTAAAGATGGACCAGACAGAAACTCCATCTGACACTTTAAAGCAAGGGTCCTCAACTAAATGTGTTCAAGTGCCAGATGCTCTTCCTAAATACAGTTCAAGTATTATTGTATCCTAATTTGTTAATATTTAAAATTTGTTTTCCATCTAAACTGCTTTGATTGTATTTTTGTGTTTGGAGAACGTAAACCATTATTGATATTTGGGACATGAATTTTGCTGCTAAACTTCAAAAGAAAGAAACAAAACAATTGTTTATAAAGCACCTCAAGATAAAAATCATGAAGCACTTCACAAAAACAAAAAAATGAAAATGAAATGAAAAGAAAGATAAAAAAAAATGATTAAAAAAGTCCCCCAATTGGGGGGCATTAGGGCCCAAAGGGCTAGGGGGAGAGGTGTGATGGACCAGATGTGGCCCGCTGGCCACCAGTTGAGGTTCACTGCTTTAGAGTGTTTTGTTGACAGATTTGGGCAGATTTCGCACACACACAACAGAACATAGATAATTATTCAGTCTGGAACCCAGAAACAACATCTGTGGCGTGTCAACATCTGCTGCTGGTCCTCCGTGAAATCACAACCATCACAACAGACTGCTGTAGCCAAGTCCAAACAGCACATGCACGATTCCTCTTTTTATATATTACTGCATCATTTTACTAAAGTAATGAAATGTAAGATTTAAAATACATTTTTGTTCTTTGCATCTCTCATTGAATTTTTGGATTCATGCCCAAGAAACCACTTTTTTAACTTGAAAACAAATGAAGGAAAGAATTGTTTGATAGAATTTTAACAAAAATCGTGATTCAGATTTTATCAGAAGCCTCTTGCACCACACGGGCGAGTGTTTCAGCTCGATGTTTTTACTTTTGTCACTTTACTTTCTAAAAATCACCAAGCATTGCATAAAAATGCACATTCAAGTAGAATCATGGACATGAGCTCATACCTCTCCGACGTGGGGTCTGCACAGTTGAGTGGATACTTGAGCTCGATGACGTCTCCATTTTTCTCTTTCAGCTGCCCATGATGCTCCATGTAATACTGCACCAGCTCTGCAAGAGTGGCAAACTTCTCCCCACCATAGAGGTCGTAGTAGTCCCCTGTATTTTGAATCTTAATGTGGGTGACAGCTCCATTTCGCCTAAACACAAGACCAAATAAGGGAACAGAATCAGACAGGTGTAAGAGCTCATCAGCAGAATCCAACAAGAAGTCTGCGGCTCATAAAAAATCCTGTCAGCGCAGATCGCTGTAGAAAAGTAATCCCTAAAATATTCCAACAGTCTAGTCCAGCTGCATCTTCAAAAACAACGATGAAAGAAATCACGTTTCTAGCAGATTAAAAGTCCACATGGTGTGTTTTTATAAGCCAAACTACTGAGCTTGAGCTAAATCAGTGGTCAACATTATGGCAGAATTGAAGATGAATGCGTGAACGTTTCAAAATCCCAAAAAGGCCAGTGTTTACAACTTTACAACCATAATGAACCAATTCCTTCTTACATGCTGAAACTAGACAAGATCTATTTAGCAATAGCAGCTAATTCTTAGAGAGTGTAATCCTGTGTTCCTGCAGAAATACGGAAATGTCTGAGCTGATTTCTGAGTTAGCAGAAACAACAGGCTAAAGCCGGGAAGGGTCATTTACACAATCATTAATATGGCATTGGGTTAAGATGTAGAGGTTCGTGAGCCGTTTAAAGCTACAGAGGGTTCATTCTCATCAAGAGGAAACTAGTAAATGTTACCAGACATGAAAAAGTCTTGTAATCAACACCAGGAGATAAAGTATAGCAGGGTAGAAATATGTGAGGGTTAAATAACTGTCACTAAAACATAATGCTGCAATTTCAATACCCCCTTATAAAGCAGAAAACCAGATATGAGCATTTATTATACAATAGCAGGAATATTCAGCTCTGTATCCCGAGTCCTTTCTGTGCAGAGTGTAACAGAATCAGATGTTGTCTCTACAGAATAACTCCACTGTTGTATGTCACTGATGAAGAATAGATCTGAAAGACAAAACTGTGTTTCATTTAGCTATTCAAACCAGACAGACAACCAACTACTGAGTCACACATGATCACCATTATCTCAGAAATAGAAAAGAAGAACTTGTGGCAGAGCTGGACCTGAGCAGATTTTAACGGCCTCACGGGGAATTCTGCAGTGAAGGAGATGTGCTGGTTAGAACCAGCAACAACTGGTTTCCCCATGGAAATGTCTGCTTTTGTCTCTGTGTGAAGTGCATACTGAGTATGACGGGAGACCGTACTGTTAGAATATGAAACTGCAGCAAAAATAACTTTGTCTACATCAGCCAAATTGACTTAATGACACTTCCTCTCACAAACGTATGACTCGACAGGCCCAGAGATAAAACCAGCTACTTTATTTTCATTAGTTACATTTTGGCTATCGCTTGGATAATGTTGGCGGTCTCGCTACATTCAAAACTACGAATCAAGCAGAATTGGATGCAAGTTATTTCCATTTTGGTGTAAAACACTCCCACAGCAACAGGCACGGTCAAAGTTTGACCTGATATAAACATTATTAAAGAGTCACTTATTTGCACATCCAGAACATACTGAGCAAGCCATCATTTCTTTCAAGTCATATTTGTGCTGGTGTAAGGCTAAGTCTGATGTTTGTTCTCTGAGTTGCTCTGCATCACATGCACATCAGAGGTCATCAGCCTGAACATCTGTCTGTTGCATCTGGACAAAAGACTAAAGCCTCATTTACACCAAGTGTGGAACAGATGCAGATCAGAACTAGAGGTCGACTAATATTAGCTCATCTATTGCCAATAGCGATGCCTATATGTAAAGGTCGTGGTCAGCCGATGGCCGATGTGCTGATGATTTTCATGGCTGATATCTGGGCATTTCCACCTTACTTTCATGCTGAAATGGCACTAAAACATCAGTTGATGCACAACATTTCTGAAACCAATTCAGGTTTTGAACACTGAATTTAACTAACTGGTAAATTTTAATTTATGCACTGCTCAGTGTGAAAATCAGACATCTAACTGAAGTTAATCAAACAAATCAGTCAACTGACCAAGTATTAAATGTTCAAAACTGGTATATAAAAACAAATTTTAGCTGAAAATAAGAGCATTTTTTACACAGATGTTCTTCAGGAACGTAAATATACATTTAAATTAAATTCTGCAGCAGCACTGGGCTTCCCGGGAATGTGCCGGACTTTAAATCCACTTTACTAAGGAGGTATATCAGCCTATATCTAAAAAATAGTCAGCCACTTCCTGTACGGCTCATGTCATTTTGTCAACTTCATCCACATGCGGCATTCGGAAAAAAAGAGAAACCACATGGAAAACTCTGCAGCTCCGAATCCAGATTTGCCCCGCAGCAAGCTGGTGCAAATGCTTTGACTGGACTCAATGATTTTTGGTCTTTGCAGAAGCAGCAAAGACTCTGATTCTTGTGCGTTCTGCACTCTGTGTAAATGAAGTTTAACACAAGCAGAGTTTTGGCTGGGGGATTTGGTTGGGCTGCAGATTTTGTGATGATGCTTTATAGGATGTTTTTCTTTCTAAAAACCACATTACCAATAGTTCTGTTTAAAATGAACTCAAACGTTGCATTCTAGTCACAGCTCTATCGTGTCTAACTTTATTGGACTTAGCCACAAGCGTAAAGGCTGTGAACAAAATACTTACCATAAATGAAGAATTTTCTTACCTACATTTGTAATGCCTCTTTTTTTTCTTTTAATGGAGGTTCATGTTGCTTACACCTCTTCTGCTTAATTTTGTGACATTTTATAAATCTCTTGCCTTTTCTATCTTAACATGTTTCTTTTTTTTAAATCTATGAAGTAAGGCCTCTTTAGTGAATCCTCTGAATAAGTGAGTGAACTAAGCCCTAATCTGAGATTGTTGGTGTGACTGATTGGTTGGAATAACATCATATTCTTGATTTAACGTTTTATTTTTGTTGTTTTTAGTGAAGTAATCACTGTTATCTCTTACCGTACTGAGAGAGTGAAGTCTCCTGGATTACTTTTACTTGGTCTGGCCAAAAAGCTGCCATCCACTCCTCGAGTCAGAAGGAGGTTTTCGGCTTCCACGCCTGTGATGTTGGGATGAAACCATCTAAGAAAGGAAAAGGAACAGAATGATGCTAATTACCACTGTGGCCAAAAACCTTTGTCTCAAAACCAATCAGTTGGGGTTTAATCTGTTATCCAAATGCATCATTTTACAAAAAACTGTCTCCTACATCTCCCTAATGAAATTTTAACACATTCCTTCAAATTAAACATAATTTAGGGTCACTGTTTAAAACATTACAGCCTCTTCCAGATGTAAAACAAAAAAAACTTTTAAAAGAACCATGAAAATCTGACAGAGTAGAGCCATTTAACTCAGCATTTTTCCTGTCTGATTAAACATCAGATGCATCAGATACACATCTGGTACAAGAGTCCAATCATGTGATCTGCAGAACCAACAACAGCACGACTTCTGCATCAATAACCCCAAAAGGTTAGAGTGCTTTGTTCTGCAGCAGAAAGACACACTATCTAGGACTTTAACAACATTTTAGTCTTGTGTTGTATATTGTAACTAGAATCCTAAATATGTTTCTGACAATACCACTACTAGTAATAGCACAACATGACTTTTCAGTTTTCAGTCAATTCTAATGCAAAAGAGTAACATAACCAGCTCTAAACATAATAAAGCTCTGGGGTTTGACTTTGGGAATCATTTAACTGATCACAGTATTTTCCATTCCCCATTCAGACCCAAGATAAATGTATGCTGTATTATCTTACAGCCCTGATTTCAATACAGATTTAGTTTCTGTTTTCTGATCCATGCTGTAACCACAGGGCAGTGATAAAAGTTTTCATCCTATGCAGAGCATCTCCTGTTTACATTCCCACACTGACTATATAGACGTGTGTGTGTGTGTGTGTGTGTGTGTGTGTGTGTGTGTGTGTGTGTGTGTGTGTAAAAAATATTCTGCAGAATGTTTGAAATATTGATCCCCTTGTATTCACTCTGATACAAAACATGAAAAACCTACACTGGTTTCCTATCCTGGATTATTTCATTTTTTTAAAGAAATTCCTGTAAATCACTATCTTTTCTCCTACGTGTATCCTTTTGCTTCTCTTGAATCGGGTTCCCACTTTCCCCCACAAACAAGAATCCAAATCAGAGCTGTGTAAATAATACGGGATCGACCGTGGTGTAACGCTATCTTTGGTTGTCAGACAGAAGCATAGCACAACTAAGCTAACTATTGTGACTATTCTTAAAAAAAAACTCTTACGTTTGCTCAGTAGCTAATTTATGCGTTGCTCGTTTGAAACGGGCGCATATGATACACAAGCAGATGATATGTGAAGTTTAAAATAACTGTGTAAAAGTATTGTTTTCTCAACTGGCTCCAAGTTGCCGGTGTAACGCTAAACACATTTATTCTAAGCTAGCCGTTTCGCAGCCTTCGGTTCTCTCAGAAGCCTCGATTCCCCACGTACAGAGCTACAGACAGCTGAGCGGAGTCAAACTTAGCCGGCTCGGCTAACATTTTGTCACCAGACATTGTTTTCCAGACAGCCCTCTCACCTCCGAGATGTCATTTTTTTCCCTTCCTCACTTCCTCGCTGGCACTTCTTGGTAGCCTCAACAAGCTGGCTAACGCTTCCCACCGTTTCTGCTTTAGCTATCTGATGAAGTGCTTCATCGATTAACACCCGGTCAGGACGGGCGCTGGAAACGAGTTAGGCATCCACGAAAGACATGGGTAGCGCCCGCTACTAAAAAGTCTCTAGGCCTCGGCCCTGGAGACTTCAGAACAAGTCGACTACTGTACGTCACCAAACATGCGACAAAATCATCGGACAAAATAGAGGGCGCTTGGATTTACACCCCCACGCGGCCGTTTACGTTGCCGCACGCGCACCTCGGAATGCAGCAAGCTTCTGGAGTGTCTCCGCCTGAGCACAACCCTAACCGGCGAAATGTGAGATATAAAATGAAGATCCCAATCACTTTCATCCTACGCATGCTCATTAAACCCTTCAAGTGGCAGAAGCGACAAGCGTGCAATGATAAACAAAGGTAGACTTTATGTTTGCGATTATAGATATCTGTGAAATGTCATTTTTACACCGTTTTCTTTTTTTGTAAAATGACATCTTATTAAAATTATACTTAAAGAAATATTATGCTTGTATAAGTTTCCAATGCCAGAAATGCTTGCTTATAAATACTGAAATACTACAGGTGGTTATCGTCATCATCATCATCATCACCACCACCACCATTATCATCATCATCACCACCACCACCACCATTATCACCATCCATTATCCAGTATCCCTGCAGTTTGCCTACAGAGCCTACAGGTCTGTAGATGATGCCATCAACAAGGCTCTACACTTCATCCTGCAGCATCTGGACTCCCCGGGTACCTACACCAGGATCCTGTTTGTGGACTTCAGCTCTGCCTTCAACACAATCCTCCCAGACCTCCTCCAAGACAAACTGTCCCAGATGAACATGCCTGACCCTATCTGCAGGTGGATCACTCACTTCCTGATGGACAGGAAGCAGCAAGTGAGTTTGGGGTAAGAATGTCTCGGGCCTGCGGACCATCAGCACCGATTCCCCTCAGTGTTGTGTTCTCTCCCCTCTGCTCTTCTCTCCATACACCAACGGCTGCACCTCCAACCACGAGTCTGTTTGCAGATGATTCCACTGTCATCAATGAACTGAACTGTATTAAAA